TACTTAACGGTAATACTCTACTCCACATAATGCACATTAGTTGAATATATTTTAATTTTATATAAGTCAATAATATAATAGAGAATAAGTATAGGGTTTATTTTGTGAAACATTTTATATTAAAAGTTATATTAAAAGTCTTTATGTATATATTTATATAGGATATAAATTTTAAGACCAAGTAACTGACATTACCGCTACCGATAAGTGTAACAACAAAGTTGTAACGTTTAGTTTGTAAGATTATCTAAGTCACTGTTGTGAGTTCCACAGGTAAGGTATGGTAGCAAAACAAATCATATTATATTTTTACTTTTTCTTAAAATCATCTTTCATTTTCATAATGATATATAAATAAATACTCAAACTCTTTGTTTCACACAATTCACCTTTTTATTTATTTTTGACCTCCGTAGTCGGTTTATTTGGATGAAGTGAAGTCTTCCAGTTTAAAGGACTTACTTAATCACCCAATTTTTTCATAAAAAATAACCATATTTGTATTAATTTATCGACCGTACCAATTTCTAATATTATCAACGTTAACTTTGCTTTCCAAATACGCATAGTTGCGAAAAAAAGATTGACTATAATCAAACAGTTTTTGATTTCGTTCACAATATTTAAAAGATGTAGTTTCGCTTATTCTGTAATACAAGCTTTATTCTCCGTCTGAGATACTGCACTTAAGTGATTTTCAATGGTGCGCATTAACGTTCAATTCAACCGTTTGATCTACTTAAACCTTTTGCGATAGCACAATGTTCAATATCCCAAATAAACATATTTTACTCTAACATATTTTTGGTAGGAAAACTTTTATGAAAATTTTCGTGTAAAATTCATTCTCCAACAGCTCTTAAAAATGAGTGATCCTATTTACAAACGAGCAAGAACATATAAAATAAATATTTTTATAATAAAAAAAATTTCCCCGTAATGTCCACCATAGGGAGTGGAGAAATAGGAGAATAGTCACTTATTTATTGCTTTCCACTTTAAGGTAGTCCCAAGTAGTTGATTCTTTTGTTTCAAGCTGTACTTGTAGCTATGGAAATAAGATTTCACTCGTTTTTTTTCATTATTGCTGTGGCAAGTTAAATATTTCGCAGGTTAGCAAGGGGATGTGATTCATTACAATTACATATATAATATTATTCAATAAGTTTACTCGTCCACATTTTAGACAATTCTGGCATACGCAACAAATAAGAAATATTTATAATCGATAAAAATATGCTTGGCAGAGGATGGTCCTAATGTTTAACCCAGGTGTTGTTTTTAGCCCTCTTATATAAACAAAGCTTAGATGGGTTTACAAAAGTTTTTTAATATTAAATAAAACTGTTTAGTAAATACACAATGGAATATCAAGCAGTTTCCTTGTATTGGTTCTTGGTTATGTTTTTGCAATTTCGATTCAGAAGTATCAACGCACCCGTGAGCTCAGTTTCCTAAACTAATGTTTGTATGGCAAATGATTATTCCGTTGAGCGCTTCACGCGTACCACTTCACTCGTTAAAAGACGATTATTTATTATTATTTGCAGATTATTTTTATAACCAAAATTTTTATATTACTTCCATTAAAACTAAGTTATACATAAATATATTTTTTTATCATAATCCGCAGTGGTATTGAAATTTAATACAAAATTTATTATTTAAAATTATCTTCTATGACAGAATATTGACCTAAAAATAGTCATAAAAGCACATAGAAATTTAACTTAAGAAACCAAAATAAAAAACTTATGGTGGATAAATAAACAATTATTAATGTCTGAATGGCTGAAAAGTGAAAATGATTTTTTTTAATATCTTTGAATCGAACATTATCAACAACAGAGCAAAAAACGCTATTTATATAACTTTCTTAAAATAAACAACTGTAAATAAAATATTATTCAAATAATTAAAGTTTAAAAATAAAACTTACATACGCAACGTGAAATACATTGAAGTTTTTCACAGTATCTTAAATTATTATTTATCAAAGAAGTCTCTCAACACCAATAACACACAGATGTAATAATTTAAATAATTATAATGAAATGTTAAATTTGAATATTACATTTAAATTGACGCTAGAAATTTGGCAGTGGTGGTACCACATATTATAACAAAAGATTAGTATAGATATAACAATGATTACAGAACAAATATTTAATTAAATGCATTCAATGTGTTAAGTTAGTGATACTATCGTTTAATTTAGGTCCTAATATATAATTTTCAAATCCGATAAATGTCAGGTTAGCAAGAATTTAAGCACGCCTACGTTTAGTTTAATTACTATCAAAACTAATCAAATTAAATTGTATCAAAATGAAATTAGTTCATATTCAGTTTCTGATGATTTTATTAGTTAATGAAGTTTTAAAGTCTATAAAAAACAAAATAAAAACCAGAATCATAAAGTTCTCTTAACGATTTCAAAATATAGCTGTTATTTGACCTATTTAAATAATCAAAGTCTGAAAATCTTAATTTTTCTTTGACCAAACACAAAAGAATCTCTAAATTAATAATAGGTTTGAAGTTTTAAGGGATTTATTAAAACAAATTTTATCCGTTATTTTAGTAATACAGTTCCGAAACGAATTTATATAATTTTTAAATATAAATTTCATAATTATTTTAAATTAAAAAAAATATTTAGAGACAGAATAAGACGTACGAATCGCTGTTCAAACTGAGACGAAAAAGGCTAAAGTCTTATAAAATACCTTATGTGGATCCACGCATCAAGGCTCGTAGTCTAAAAACATGCACTCCAACAATTTTAATAGTGATCCAAACACTAGGCGGACTGAGGCTAACAATGTGTTCTGGACAAATCTGTTTTGCTCAGAGAACCACTCTGTGTATCCATAACGCTCCAAGAACGTCACGTATTCTATACATTTTATAAAAAAAAAAACTTTATGAAGATATTATACTATGAACAATTATAACAAAACAAAAGGGAAATAACAAAATACATTGTACACTCCTGAAAGAGTAACATGCTAGATAACAGAACAATTTAATAATAAATAAGGAGACTTGGATAATACTTAAAAATACTTGAAATTCAAACTAATAAAACCTATTCAAAATAAATTAATACAAGTTGTACCATATATCTTTTTTATAATATTAATATATGATTTGTTATTCTGTCCAATTGCCTTTGCAGTTTGTTTTAACTACAACATTAAAGATAATTTTAGAATTTCATCTAGCATAAAATCTATAGTTTTCATATTAAAATTGAAAATTTTTAAGTTAGTATTATGTTTTCAAAAAGGTTGAATGATTCGCGGTATTAATATTATATATACTTTTGTTTTAACCTGCGATAATCACGCCATGAGAACACAACAAAGGATTTTATTTTTTAAAATGATATATTAATATGAACACTATATCTACCAAACAGGCTAACGATAAATAAAAACAATTCCATTAATTAGAACATTTATTCACTCACATATTTACTGTGATTAAAACAATTCCTATTTTACATTACGAATTTCAATTATTCAAATAAATACATATATTTTTTATCTACTTCAGAGCATTTATAAATATCTTGTACATAAGGTTATCACAATAAAATCTATTTACTACATAAACTATACGTGTTCATTTAAAATGTGCTATACTTATCAATTGTTAAATAACTAATTTTTTCAGTGTCAATTATAAATGAAAATGCACTTAAAAATATTAAAGAACTCTGTGATGAATTTAAAGCATACATCCAGGAACTAATAATAAATATTTTTGTGAGAAGAATTAATTACTTTACTTACTATAGTTACCAACTATTACCCTACGAAAAAAGGTAGAGGAGTACAAAAGACTGGTAAAAATACTACAGGTTCAAATATATAGTACAATAGACGTCATATTTGACATACACACAAATTCTCACTACTACTTTCTGTTTGATCGCTATTGCGATATTTTTTATACACTATACGTTTTTAAATTCTAAATATAACAATTGTTTTTATACCCTTAATCTAAAAATTCGGAGTAGGTATTTGGTCACCCACAGAATAAATGCTAATAGTAAAAAGGTTTTTATTTCAAGTGACAGTTATTGACTAGTTCATTAAGTTACGTGCTTTGCACTACCCTATGCCTAAATTAATTTATTTCACTAATCAAATTATAACCGAAAGGTTTGCGAAAAAGATTGCAATAAAGGACAGACCAACTTTTCAGTCTTTACTTTTACTACTCTTTTGTTTTATTCTTGACAACGTCGTTGGAACTATTCACTGTGTTGTTAAACCGATTGACAACGTCTCTTTACTTTTCCTTTATTAATAACAAGCCCTTTGTCATAAGTGGGTGTGATTAGACCCCTTACCATTACCATTACAAACTGGCTTATTACTGCTTGGGACACTTGCCAAATTACCGCTTTGGGATAGTCTAAACTCTCTCACAGCGTTTATCTATATTATTGATAAGGTCTTTCGCAACAAATGTAGCAATCTCATGTTTTATCCGATCTCGCTCTGACATTAATTCCAGCGGCTTATTTGCTACTGGATTTTTTCGCATCATTTTTTCTCGGGACTTTGACTGTGCGTAAGTGAATGAGAGGCGGGGCTGTCTGGACCTTGAAATGTTATGCTTGGGTTATTGGTACTTTCGTTGTAATTTGGCTGTCTCTCGACTTGTATGGATTTTTCTCCCAACAGCCAATATGTAGTCATCTTTCCTTTTCCCTATTAAACAATAGCTCATTTAACATATAAAATTTCCAATCCGACGAATATAAATTATTCTTTGACATAATTAAGACTACAAGATACTTTGTCTTGAATAAGAATTCTAAGAAGTTTCTTAATTAAGAAAGCATTTATGAAATTAAATTACGCCTCATCAATACTGTAACATCCACTGTAATTACCTTCATTGTGATTTCCCCTCTGCATTCAAGCTCGAAACAATCATACAAATCGAGAACTTCTTTTGTTTTAGGGCTAACGTGAATTTTAAGAGCCTCTCCGTGTGATTCCATCCTTGATGCGGTATTCACCGTATCGCCAAAAAGACAATACCTTGGGCATTTTCAAACCCACAACTCCAGCAACACACGGACCTGTTTATTTTGTAAGAAAAAGAACAGTTTTAGGTACGACTATATTGTAACTGTTAATTTCAAAAGAAAAGTAAACCTATTAATTAAGAATAAATAAAATAAATCTGCAAAATCACACAAATAACATAAATAGTTTCATTTTCATAAAAAAAACATTTCTTTTTTGGTTCTGCGAATCAGTCATTTAACCTTGGAAATTAAAACAACAATGATAAAGTGAGTAATAATAACAAATATTTTAACTACCTGAATGCATTCCAATTCTCAGCAGTAGTCTTTCCCCTGGTCGATGTGGAACGGTCTTTACCCTGACTCCTCGGAGGAGGGCGAGAGACATTCTTGCAATTTCAGCGGCATGACGATTACCATTGCGCATTGGGAGACCTGATACCACCATGTACGCATCCCCAATAGTCTCCACCTAATTTTATTTTTGTTTGTTGTAATTAAACACTTCTAGTTTCTTTGATATAAAATTTACAAGAAAACACTTAAGGAATATCATTATCATGAACAACATCAGCCTATCAGAGCCCACTGCTGAGCAAAGGCCTCTTTTCACATGGAGAAGATTTTAGGAATATTTTATACCAAACAAAACATGATCTCACCTTGTAGACATCAAAGTTTTCAATAATGGAGTCGAAACTAGTATACAAGTCGTTAAGTAGATCCACAACTTCCAGAGGCGTAGATTCAGCGGAAAGCTGAGTGAATCCGATTATATCACTGAAGTAAATAGTAACTTGGTCGTACGTTTTCCGCCATCACCGGTTGGCCCATTATAAGTTGAGATGCGACTGATCTAACGAAATCATTAAATCAAACTAATAACACAATTTTCCAATAGAATTATATTACTCGCAAACATAATTAACAATTTATTTAGATGAATAAATTTGTTACATTTAAGTGAAATATGAAAATAATTACTTCGGCAACAACTGGTATAATAAATTCCTCGCATTTTACGTTTCTCCTCTAAATAATCGGATGTCCGTTCCTCAACCAGAGTCTCCAAGTTATTAGCGTATTGCTCCACTTGTGTCAACAACATGTCAAGCCGTGTTGAAGTTTTCGCAGTCCCTGTTGAGAGAAACATTACGCCGTTGTATATTAACTTCGTCTAAGTTTTGACAATTCAATTTGTATATGTTCTTGTTTTCATGTACTTGTTAATTCTATGTATATTTTCCTTTAGAGCTGAAAAATCGGGTCGGTCGTCATCAGGTAATGTCCAAGGAGGTTCCCCTGTAAGTGACTGACGCGGTGACACAGAGAGTGGGGAAGTGCCGCGATTCCGCATGTCAGCATTTCCTGCGGACGAGTAAGTGTGAATACTTGATGAACTTGTATTCTTAATTCTATTAAAGTTTGTAAAGCACTTTAAAAAGGCTATTTTTTAGAAGACCCAGGTGCTAAGGAAATCCAACGTTACTTTCTCTGTACGACGTTACCAACTTGATCAATTTATTAACTGGAAAGCGTAATTAGGATTTTATAAAAAATGTCTTTTAGTCCTCCATTTTGAAAACAATGAATTTATAGTTAAAAATCTTAAGAAAGATAAAAATAAACATTTTTGAAACTCAACGTTTTTATAAATAAAAAGGAACAACATAGAAAATAAAAAAATGTTTTACGTAAAATTATGTACTCATAAATACTAATTTAGTAAACTACTCTTATATATTAAAAAAAAATGCATTTGTTTTACGAAGATAATGTAGGTACAAAGGTACCATGATTTCAATTTTCAATTTAAGCTATTGTATAATAAAATAAAATTGGAATTTACTTATTATTCATTACGTATTTCAGGAATATTGTAAAACATTTTTGGGCCAATCTTGTATGCTATTTGATAAGACTCGTTGCCAGGTATTTTTTCCAATTTCTATAATTTACATGACGTCCAGTCTTAAGTGTATATTGTATGAATAGTAATCTATTTATTGTCTACCATTGTCTTAACTTTACGAAATATCAAGTAAAAATAATATACTCATTTAAAAAATGTTTGCACCAACCTCATCATAATTACATTTAGAATGCCATAATTCCATTTAAAGACACGAATAATATGTCATTATTTCAAAATATACTAATTAAACTACTAGCCCTGGGAAATATTAGTACAAGTAATATGACGAAGACATATTACATATATTAGAATTAAAAACAATTTTATATAACCCTATTAGTGGCATTCATCATATTCCCCAGACCAACTTAATTGAAACTCTTGAAAATCAATTAAGAACTTTATACAGTATGTTACGAGTATATCAAGGCTTTGGTTCAAACTAATTTAGAAATATTGTGAGCTCATTATGCAGTCAGGTTATTGAATTTGTTAATGAAATTGGAACACTGTTATAGGTTTTCTGGCTGGGTCTAGTTAATTGGACAGATAATTGAACTTCAGTACCAAATGTCAGCTCAATATCATGTCGAGGACATTGATGATAATGGGAATAGGAAAGCAATTGGTCTATATTCAATACATCTGTAAAATACACACATTGGATATTTAAAAACCGAATAAACTGATAGAGCGTTATACATATATAAATATTTAACCTGTTTATTTTATATAGTCTAGGGTCGTGATTATAAATGACCTTTCACAGTTTCTCTTATTGAATGAAGAGCATTTTATATCCCACTTAGTATGCTGAAAATGTGAAAGGGTTCCATAAAAAAATCCAACCTAAATTGTGAATAATAAATTATCTTTTTAAGGCTCAAACCTTGTAAATAGGCTTAAAGACTTCATTTCATACAAAAAATATGATCTGAATAAAGAGTTCAACTTTTTCTGTTGTCTATTTTTTTAAAGTAATTATCAGGCAACCAGGTAAAAAAATTACGTCTTTTTTTATAAACTACATATAAAACTTTCAATATTTTATAATTTCGATAACCCTTTCATAAGGAAATAAGCTACAGAGACAATTTGTAAAAACGGATTTTTTTTTTCTATATTTTTTTTACAGCATAATCGTGCGAATTATTTTATCGATAAGTCACAAAAGGTTTGCGACGTTTGTTTTCACAATTTTTCTCTCTTTAAAAAAACTTTAAATTTGTACTCTTGGCCGTTTATAATTTCAATAATGAAATACATACGTCTAAATTTATCTTCCAAAATAGCAGCGCAATAGTCACAAGCTAAAGTACAGTGAGGTCGCCTGGACTCAAGAAGCGGACTGACGGCTCTCCGTGGACTCGGAGAATCAGTTCCACCAGGAGGAACGAGGGACATTTTCCTGTAAGAGAATGTTATATTACAAGAGCAGTAACCAAAATAAATCTTAATAATTTTTTTCAAAACCACTAAAAAATAATCTCAGAAATGTGTTTACTTAATACATCATAAAGTTTTTTATAGTGAGATAATATATTCGGATTAACTAGTCTCATCAATTGTGTACATACAATTATTGTTGCAGCAAAAAAAGAAGTCAGACTTGTTCACTCCCAAACTCGGAAAAAAAAAAATTATACAATAAAACTGGGGCGTTAAGTTACTGCCGACAAATTTTAACATTTGACCCAATAATTTAAGTATAGAGCTCACTTTGTAATTATTTCATATTTAACATGATTTATAAATGAAAAACAAACAGCAAATAATGTATCCAAATTAAATTCAAATAAAAATGAAGTCAAAGGATCACCATAATCTCCGTTCAATTACTTTTATAGCTAAATAAAGAATACTCAACAATTTTTCTTTAGTTGCTTTGATCAAAATCTTTTTTGAGAGGCACTAAAGTTTGTAAGATCTTATGAATAATTCAAATACATGGCTACAGAAATTTAATTGATAGTCCAAAAGATCCATTAAGAAATACAAAAGTGTTTTTAATTAACCTTAAAATTATAAAGAACTGTCCAAAGAACAAAAAAAAAAAAAAAAATGTTAAACTCAGTGGTACAAAATCCTAGGAAAATTAATTAACATAGTTAATGAGAAAATTTTTGAACGTAATACAGAAGTTTTTTTTTATATCAACAGTTAAGATTCGATCGTTCACAGTTAGTGGTTCAAGTGCTTAATAAGCTTCAGTGCAAAAGTTAAGTTGGAAAGTATGTATAAGTCAAATATGTAAAGAACGAAACATTTCTAAATTTTCTGTCAACTTTTATAGATATATAAAAATATATATGGTCTATTTTTTTGTAAAAAAAACATCATACAATAATGATAATATCACTATTGCAGAAAAATAATGTATATGTCGAAGAACCTTATCATATTTGATTTTTAAGAAGTGTGACGTCAGCAATGCTGCTGTCACAGTCACTGTTTTCAATAGTCAGCTTATCCATCTTCCATTTTCATTTCACTATTAATACACTCACAAACACTGTCACTACTTTATTTCAGACTTTAACTCGCACTTGTAATTGATAATCTTCCTCCTCAGACTACTGTGTCCCTTCCGCCAACGTTTTGCGAATATAAACGGTTTTTGTGAAATCATTACATTTATTCTTTTATTTGAAATATTAAAGCTATGACGAAATAATCTTATTTATTCAAATAAACACAACACATTTACATTAAATTAAATTAAATTACATTCGTTTTTAAGTAATTAATTATTAAAACATCCAATCTTAATATTGCAACTTTAACGGTTTATAGAAAACATAAAATGACTAACATTGATTACGAATTGGTCACTATTTAAGTTCCCTTTGTACTGAAAAGTTACAGAATGACTAATCTTTACATATTACAAATCACGGGACGAATTAACTTTTACTGTTCTTTAATACTATTCATACAACGATCTCAAGAATAAATACTTTTGTTGAAGAAATCACTAACGCAATGGCGTTAGTGATTTTGTTTATGTCACATCTAACCTCTAAAGTTAAATGTAACCCTTATAAGGGTTCTAAATGTTGTTCCGTCGACATATATGTATAATTGCAATCGTTCGTATGATTTCTTATACCTATTATAACTATTTATAACCAAAGCGTATTGGTATGTATATTCATATAGGTTCATATAGCTTAAACTATAAATTAGATTTAAATAATATTCATGTTAGGTAAACTAAATTTAGCCCACTGTTACATTTATGTGTTTTGTAGCGTTAATATGGAAAAAACTATATTTTACAAAAACCTAATACCGAAATTCGTCAAGAAGTCCGAGCCATTCCATTAGTGTCAGTTTCCACTTCGCCTAACGGGCAACGTTTTTTAAAACAGTTTTCATTCATTAATCACCGGATATACATCCTGTATAAAAGACTTAATTGGCTTCGATCCATATTTTATTTAAGTGAAATAATATTTTTCGAATTACACGAATTATATAGGGTGGCAACCGGAGTTTCCAGGAAAACTACGAAAAACATACTTATATGTATGTTTAAAATAAAATTACTAATTACATGTTCAAACTTATAACCTATACCTAAGACTACATAATTGCCCCGATGTTAGGATAACAATAGCATTCTATTGCTTGTGTGGTATGTGGAATCTTTCTGGTTCACACGGCTTCGTGTTGGCTCCGCGGAGTCAGCGGCGTCACTCGTTATACGATATTTTACCGATACAAATATGTCGCCCCTGCGATATTCATTATTTTCTTCATATGTAGCGCGTAAGTAACACACGCGTAAATATTAGTAAAATATTAGTTTAAATGAATTAAATGAATACTCACAAAGAATTTAGATCTTATCACATTGTATTTTTTTAAGTTATTACCACCTTCTTGATCTAAAAAGCGATTCTTTTAAATAGAATTGAAATAGTGTTTTTATAATTTTAAATAAATATAGTCGTAAAGCTGATAGTGCAGTAATTGGTTCTTGAAGACAAAAATCAAACAACTACCAATAAACTATTATAAATAACTTTTAAAGTGTTAGATATTATATGAAGAGACGACAGTTTTTTCACTATTTTAATACTCTACGTTTGTCTAAAAAACATGTCGAAAAGAGTCCTCGAGATCATAAAATAAGAATCACTTCTTTTCGTTTTAATAAATATTGAAATATGATGGAAATTAATTTAAATTGTGTGAAGTCGATTTTAAGATACTCTTTCGCATGATAAGAGGATGTAAATAAGTAAATTTTTTAATTTTTAACACAAAATCTTATTTTTAATTACTTTTAAGTTGAGATCCCAAGTCTCATAGTAAATATACGGCTTCTCTTTACATTATTTTCCGGACCTGAAGGCAAAATTATTCTCATAGTCAAGAATAAACAAGTAGAGTACTGTACAAACACAAAATACAATATTCGACTATGACTAAAGTCAGCGGGAGCATTAATGCTTGAAATTGAATATTCTATACCCAGCAGAATTAAAAGCAACTTTCCACAAAAAACAAAACTGAACTAAGGGTAAGTTGCAAAAGCCTTTAAGATCAGTATTAAATACAAAAAAGAATGATGTTACTGTAAGCTACCAAACATTATTATATCATTAAATTCTGAGATGCACTGTAAAAAAAGAAAAAAGGGAAAAATTCACAAAGGAGCTCCTTTTGGTCAACAATGCACTTGAGTACAGACAAGTTTGCGGTGGCTGGTTCATAGAGATTGGGCTTCAAAAAATCTTGAAGATTCATCCTTTTGAATTAATTTACACTAATTATTATCCTACCAAATTAAAAAAAAAAAAAAAAAAAAACAGCTGAGAAGGAATAATTATAAATAATTAACGACAACAGCCCAACAAATATATAAAATAAAAAACATAATTTAGTTTTTTCATACCACGATGCAATTTTCAAACACTCCATTTAATTGAAGTAGTTTGAAAATATAATAACTATCTATATTGCTTCAAAGAAAACACACTGATTTGACCTAGTTTCCATTGCGAAAGAAGTCTTTTATGATTTTAAAGACTTGCACTTACTGAATAAGTAAAAATAATTCAATCGTCTCTGTTCGCCCTCCGAATCATATTTAAAATTTTTATCTCGTCATATTCTACCTTTTAATCAACTATTTACTTAAAACAAAACCAAAATGAAACAACTATCATTTGTTCACATGTACTTAATTAAAATAATGATAGTAAGTAATGAACAGGTTATATTGAAAGTAAAGTGTTGTCATTTGTACATATTACATATAATAAAAATAAAAGCTATAGGTATAGTATTATAAGATGAGGAAAGGAAAACGAAGCATTTTTTTAAAAAATATTTATTATCATACAAAACGCTTCCACCCCAATATTACTATTTAATTATTATTTTGAAGTTTTTTACTTACACTCGTATGATATGTCGTTTTATTGTTTAAAGTATAAAAACCATTAACTCATACAGAAAAATTTACATATAATATAAAAAATCATAATTTTGACAGCAATCTCCATATAAGCTATATATATTTACGAGACTGAAAAGTCTAGAAAAAATATAGTAAGTAAATAAATTAATAAAAATAACACAACAAAGCATATAGGAGAATATATCACAAAGAAATTGACAGATTTGTAACTAGAATACTCTTTATAAAAAACATATATCTGTTCCAACAAAAACCGATATATCACAGTATCAAAAAGTGTCATCATGTCTCCGGACGACAGACACAATTCATCACAATCAACGAACCAGTATAGGAATTTAAAAAAAAAAAACTGTTAACAAAGATAAGCCTATATATGTAGTAAGCCTACAAAGTCTGCTATGATCAAAGCGATCAAAACGCCCGAATAACTAAGATTTCGTTTAATAATATTTAAATTTGTTTAGAGTTATATTCAGATTATTTATAAAACTAATAACATGAAATACAAAAAAAAAATATAGAGATAACTAATTATTAAGATAAGTGCTACCCGCAGTCAGGAGGCTCAGAAGAATTTAAGTCAACTAAAATGAGTTTAATATAAAAAACATGTACATATTTCATCACAAATTGAAATGCTATAGCTTCTAAAGTAAGTCTTCAACTTTTTCGTACCGATGTAAGTGTAGAAATTCCTGTATATTTTTGGACCAGGAATCTGTATATTCATCGACCAGGTTTTTTTGGTTGATTCAACGGAAACATCAAAGTCACTCACTATGTAACTCTTTAGGCGTACAAGTGTTGTTCCCAGGATATTCGCATTTGTTCAAGACTTTTTGGCTCAGAGTAGGAGAAGGTATGGGGGCTTTTTTAGTCAGTAGGAGTCTGATACTTCCTCTTGCCCCACCAGGGACATTTTTTAAACATTTATTAATTTTTTTAAATATCGTGAAGTGAAGAACAATCC